AAACACTCTACGATGTTTATGCCAAAAATGATGCCGCGTGTGGCGCAGTGGTCTGAGGTGCCCTGCGACACACATGTGAGATCGATCCCGCGCCCGTAGCTCACCAACCCTTCCATCCCCCGGGGTCAGCAAATTGTTGCCAGACTTATTGGGAAGGACAGCAACACTGGTTTGATATGAATGTGTCGTTTTCTTGTTCAGCAATCGCGAGGTTTTTAAACAGCATACATTTACTTCCATAAAAACACAATACAATACAACGCGAGCTGACGTTTCGGCAGTATCGCCTTCTTCAGAGCCTGGAAGGGTATGCTGATATACAATCTACTAGGCTAAACGCTTCAATAACACTTACGCAAAGACGAAAGACTCTTTGGTAACTACACGATCAACAACTTTTCGAAAAACCCACCGCTTTTTCGTGACTTCCAATGAGGAAGTTTAGAACAGCTGATTATAGTCGAATGTGGTTGACGACTGTGCCATCCCACATCAAAAATCGATGCGAACGTACGGGATCAGGTCGCGTATGACCTCCGGGCATTCGTCCCTGCTATTCATTGTAGGGTTTTTGGCATTGATCCAAAAAGCCTCTAGCAGTTTTCGCGCTGGTGTTTTGGGCTCCTGTGCAAGGATATTGACTTTTACTTCAAAATCGTCTCCGCTATGCTTTTGTATCCTATGCGTGCCTAGTGGGGTGCTTCGTCTTAGTTTTCGTTTGCCATCTAGGTGTTTTTTTTGGTTTGATACATCGGTAGACCACCGCGAGTCATTGTAATGACCAGATATGCATTCAATCACCTCCAAACGTTGCTTAATTAACTCGAATGCATGGCGCACCCCTCAGGGAATGACCAACGCCGAGAGCTTTATCTTTTATCCTTTATGCTAAAAATAATGTATTATGAGTGCGGATAGAAGTCAACACATACAACATTCAATTTTTTGCTAGGCTTGTTAATGAATAACAAGGAACTGTATTTATTCGATATGACATTGATCTCGTCTCTCTGACAAATGCGATATTGTTTAGCAGTAGTTCTTATGCAAAACATTCAACGTGTTCGCGACAACGCTTAATTTCGCGTGAGACCTCGTCTAATTTCTAGCTGCGCACGCTATGAATAATATACTACTCGCACGGGCTATCGAGTTCCTACGAAATGGCCATACCTCATTTATCTTGTTTTTTGCCCCATAATTTAACATCTCTAAAACTTTCCCCAGTAATCCCTGCTTTTTTGTATTCTAGATATTGTGTGTCCATCTGCATATCCTTCTATATTTTGGGAACGTTTCCCTCTCTTCTGTTTTATGGCAAAAAAGCTCAAGCACCATCCGATCTCACATATCTCAACATCACTGTCGTTATGTTGACTATATTTTTATAATGTTATACCTTTTTATTCTCTGCCTACTATAATTTCGCGGCAGGGTACTAAGCGAAATACAACCACAACGTTGCTGAGATAATTGCAAAACTCTGGACCGCAGGTGTCTATGGTGGGAAACGAACGCGCTATCGTCCTTTCCGGGGACTAACGCGTTCACCACCACACCATGCGGGTCCTTCGTTTCGCCTGTCTCTCAGCTATTTCAATCGATCTTTGCCACAGCAATCACCCGTTAGCGGGACTGATCTGGGGCGCCCAAATCGGCATAGGACCCGAATGGTGTGGTGGTGAACGCGCTACTCCCCGGAAAGGACAATAGCGCGTTCGTTCCCCACCATAGACGCCTGCGGTCCAGAGTTTTGCAAATATCTCAGCAACGTTGTGGTTGTATTTCGCTTAGTACCCTGCCGCGAAATTATAGTAGGCAGAAAATAAAAAGGTATAACATTGTGATTTCAACTACAGCCGCAGCTTAACTGGGTTCTATGCCGATTTGGGCGCCCCCGATCAATCCCGCTGACGGGTGATTGCTGTGGCAAAGATCGATAGAAATATCTGAGAGCCAGGCGAAACGAAGGACCCACATGGTGTGGTGGTGAACGCGTTAGTCCCCGGAAAGGACAATAGCGCGTTCGTTCCCCACCATAGACACCATTGTAAAGGTCAGATGTGCGTTCAATCTCCTCCATCGATGCTCAATGAAGTCAAATGCATAGTGCATTCCTCAGGAATTTATCAACGCCGAGAGACTTATCTTTTATCCTTTAAGATTATGATGAGCCCTACTCTGTGTGTCTAAGCAGAAATACCTCAACCGCCAAAAGAGGTACCCATGCTGAATAATAAAGTCATTGGAAACGCAGTCTTCTGGAAATCATAAAGCTCAGAATGCACAATTTTATTGCACGACGCCCGATAAAACATGTGGTGGAGGATAAGCTACCGATTAAATGGAGAGAACATAGCAAAAGATTTTATATAGCAAAATAAACAGCTAGAGAGAAGGTGAATAATATATAACTTGAATGGTCCACTTCCTATAAACTCAGCAAATAGGTACATTTGTCTAGAAAGCTCGCAATCCACAAAAGCACAATACATTCGACCACCCGAGTTGACCAATCCCTCTGAGGTCGCGAGATTAGTAGCACAATTGTCTGGAAAGAGACATTCTACCAATCCACAAAGGTTGCTGATTGCCTGTGACAAACAATTGAGAAGACCTATCAAGACTATTCCAGGACTGCACAGGGTATCTATTCGACCAGGTTTCAACGAAATTTGTAGGGAGGAGTGAAATCCTCAGCAAGCAGTCGTAGGCACATGCAAATCCGAAGATTTCGAGGATGACGGATGCTCGGATCCGTGCGATATGTGGTGTCGAGTTATGTAAAATAAAAATGAAAAACAAATGGACCGCTGTTCCTTCTCGTACACGAGCAATATACTATTTCTATGACCGGGGATATGTTAATAATCTATCATCTTGGGAATAATAAGCAGCGTCTAATACACAGAAAATCAGAGTTCCGTCTATTCCTTCCTTAAGGTCGATTTTAAGACCCTGTAAACCAGTTGTGTCTTAACTGTCGGCATTCAAGGTGAAAACACTGAAAACAAGTCCATACTTAAAAGTAGGCAGTCGTTGTGCTATTGATCATCGTGAATGCAACAATCCTGCTTTTACGTTCCTTCACGGTAGATGAACCGGCAGTAAACTCTTCCAAGAAGGATAAAACACCTAGAAGCATAGATGTTACATGTAAACGACTAGTGTCTACGTGTCGTTTGATTCCTAGAATTCTCCCAATTGTTTTGCTTTCTTGCTACCACTATCCAAGAAGGTAACTGGATTCGTGTATGGATTCGGCCCTCGCCACAGCTTCTCCTCTGTAGAGCTATGGTTCGCGGTCGGGAAGCGTTTTTCTTCCTGGGAGCCCGGGTAGGCCATGCTAGTGCCTTCCTAGGCTCACCACAGACAGTCGCCTGTCCTTGTAGATCAGAAAGAAGTTGATTAGGATTCTTAGTGAGACGATGAAGTTTCCTATGATTTGACGGTTGACCGATATGTTAAGCTAAAGGCAAAACGGTGATGAAAGTAAATCTCAACGATCTTGACCAGTACTGTGGACCTTATCAACTTCTTTTCTCTAGTTTATCAATGTTATGAAGACATAAATCGATTTAAGTCTGTCTATCTCTGGGATTCTTTTTAGCCTCTGAATCGATTGAAATGCGGAACGAAAACAAAGACAAATGTCAGAAAAGAAAGGCAATAAAAGTGATTTTATCACTTTCCCAAGAGCACAGAAGTAGACTTACTCTCTCTCTCTCTCTCTCTCTATCGATGTTTCACGAATCAATATCCATCAATAAACTCATCTCGTGTAAATTTAACACTTCAGAAATGTATATGTACACTATAGTAAAAACGAACAGTGAAAAGAATCGTGGCAGTTAAAGGCCTGGTCCGAGTTTGGTCGAAAAGCCTCCCCGCAGTCGATCGATAACGTCGGTGGCGGGAACACAAAGCGGGAGTTGCTCGACGACCGGTGGTGTCAGGTCTCGGCTTCGTACTGGCAGTGTTACCGGTCGGGATTCGTTCTCGACCTCTCCATTCTTCCCATACCGTTCGAACGCACTACGTTAAGCATCCGTAACTGTTTTGTTCATCTTGGAGTGTGAAACCGTGCCATCGCATCATTCTTTTCGTGTTCCGCTGAGCAATAAAACCAGACGTTCTGTTTTGTCTCGTCAAGTGTTCCACTTATATTGATTCGCTTGATATTTCATAGGTGATTCACTTTTCTTCTTCCTTTATCGTTCATCAATAGAATTTAGTTGGTATAACCCCAATGATGATGAGTTATCAGCAAAACTCCGGACCGTAGGTGTCCGCGTTGGGGACCGAACCGACTATTATCCTTTCCGGAGCTAACGTGTTCACCATAACGCCATGCGAATCTTTCGTTTCGGCTTTCTCTCAGTCGTCTTTTCTTTAGTTAGCGTGTTCTCGCACGAGAATGTAAGATCATAATTCTCTTCATTCTTTGTGATTACTCATTGTGACAGTCAAATGTCTGGATCTATGCGTTTTGGCTCAAGTCTTGGAACAGAACTGTGAAGGGTTTACTTAACAAGTGGAGTTTACTCGAATGATAACTTAGAAGGTTCTAACCTCCAAGATAACTATGTAAATCCTGAGGTTCACTAGTTCGATTCCTTGTAATCTTTAGTTAGGATACCATTTTCAGCTAGCTGGAAGCATTTTCTGTCTTCCCTTCATCGATTTTCCGGTTTCATAAGGGTTTCTTGGAGTGCTGAAAGAAGGACAAATCATTTTCCTCCACCACATTCCTTCCTTCACATCTATCTCGCGTTACTTTTCATCGTTCTAGATTCTTCGAATCTCTGCTTGCCATCTACTGTGCCGATTATATCAACTTCGATTGCACTTGTCGTCGTTTCGTCCAAAGCTGCTTTTCTCGTCTTGTCAGTGTCTCAGTTGGTTTTTTCAGGGTGCAAGGACTTATAGCAGAAGTTCGATTGTGGAATACGGATAGTATTGGATTATACTTCCTTGCTCATCTAGTTATATTTTTCGATATGATTGTCAAAGAATAGTGAGTTTTACCTTTTGTTCTCTTGAGTGTTCTTTAAAAAAATCACAAAGAAACAGTCTACATCCTGGAAGATCCATGAATCGTCTTGTCCCAAGTCCACATATGCTTGCAAGTCGTTCGTTTAAATACACGATTTTAAGTCGGGTTGTTCTTCCTATGACAGTTGACGAATATCAAATCGGGCAGCTATGGTCCGTTGCGGAAGCGTCTAAAGCGGAAACCGGTGGTGGAGAAGGGGTCGAGGTCTTTTTCTTTTCTTCTTTTTACACTTTTCTTCTCTTTTTCTGTGTATTTTCTTAAGAGTTCTTTGTAGGTTCTGAAAAATGAGCCCTTTGATGGTGTACCACTTTTAAATGGCAAATACTCTAAAGGACAATACACACACAAGATATATCACCTTCAATCGTTAGTTTCTTCTTTCTTCTGCTTAAATCACTTAAGTTATCGAGTATTTTCCCATTGTATAAATCTCCCTCTGATCCACAAGGGCGGCAACTACTTGTGGTGACGACGACCTGGAGTAGGCTTTCGTCTGGCTAACCTCAGGACTCCAAGGAATCACAATGTCTAAACCGGCAAAACTCCGTAAAAGTGGAGATTATGCTGCTGCCGCACAACCAATTAGGAGGGGCCACCAAAGTTTGAAAGTATAGTATGATTCTTGCTTAAAGTTGTGAAAATTCTGCTAAAATTAGTATCGTGTCGTTTTCTGTTTTTTTTTTTTCTAGAAAAGTTCCCACTATAATCAGAAAAATAGCACCTAAAGGGTCGTTGGCCATCCATGAGGAGGCTTGGAACGCTTATCCTTACTGCAAGACTGTTCTTACTGTAAGTAGATTCTAAGTGAAGATTTAAATTTCTCTTCTCATTTACCTTTTTTAAAATAATTTCATGTGTTTAGAACCCTGATTACATGAAGGGTAATTTTTTCGTGAAAATCGAGACCATACACCTTCCAGATCGAGGGACATCTGAAAACGTAGGTTAAGCCTATTTTTCGTCAAAGTTTTGCTAGGCGAACAGTATTATCATTTTGGATCATATTTTAATGTTTTCTTTTCCTTTCCTGGTAAACATAGATGTCCAGCAAATGTTTGGCGCTTTCATAGCTTTCCAGCGTTATTCAGGCTCATGACCTTAGCCCTGAAGAGTTGGAGAGGAGAGAAGTAGTGCATATTGATATCGCTGATGACAGTCAGTATCTTCACGCTGCTGATATTCATTCCTCAACTACTCCAAGCACGTTTGTTAGCTCGAAAACTGGCAGGTATGCTAATCTTCTTTTCTTTTGTGGTTCTTTGTTCCAGTTCTGTTTCTATTGCATTATTTCAGCAAATATTCAAATAAATGTTGATGAGCATTTTCGAAATTCTTGCGCTTTGTTTTTTAAACAAAGTGAATAAGAATTGTTGTATTACATTAATAGGGCGCATATAGCGCGTGTAGCGCAGTGGTCGAAGGTTCCCTACAATACATATAGGGTCGAATCCTGCGCTTCAGGCCGACAAAGCCTTGCATTGTCTGTGAAGAGAGCAGCATTGCTTTGATACATCGGTAGGCCACCGCGAGTCATCGTAAAAGCCACACATGCATTCATTCACCTTCAGTGATGCTTAATAAAGTCAAACACATAGCGAATCCCTCAGGGATAGTTCGACGCCGAGAGCTTTAGAGCTCTATTATTATTGCCAAGCCTTTCAGTTATTAGGCTGTTTAGAAATTAGTGCAGGGCATTAAATTTTATCCTTGTGCTTGTTCTAGCAGTAATTTTTTTTAAACGATAAACTCTCGTATATCATTGCAGAGCTCACTTCATGGACTTACATTATGTATGATTGAATTGTAAATTAAAATGTGTTTTGGCAATTTTTATAGACTAGAATTTCAAACGTCAAGGCAGAAATTTTCGAAAAATCTACTTCTATCGGGACGTATGCAGCGGAAACGGCTAGAATCATTAATGAGGTATGGGGACAAGGAAGTGTTAAGGAACGCTAAGTGCAACGTTAGTTTGGAAAATTTAGTAGTGGCGAATTCTGTTTCGAAGGTGAGGAAGGTCGCGGACGTCCTTCTGCTGAAGACGAATTGAACACTTTGATGGGATTGTATGCACGGTCAATTGTTCGAGAGGTTCCAGAGGAACGCGATCTAAGCATTCATACTATTTCGTAGCATTCAGTGATTTGAAAATGGAGAAGACGTCGCACAACTGCCACTGCGAAGGTTGAACGAGCTAAGCTAGAAACTTACTCGTTCACCATATTCACCTGACCTTTGGGCTACTAACTACCATTTCTCGAAGCTTCTTGGCAGCTTCCTGTGCTGAAAATGCTTCAACATACAAATCGAGGCCAAAATTGCCTCCGGCAACTTCGCCTCCTCTAAAAGTTTAGAGTTTTATGCAACCGAAATAAGTGGGTTTGTTCCTTGTAGGGAAAAATGGGTAGGTTTCAATAGTTTTTGTATCGAGTAGTAAAATTTGTTTATCTGAGCTGAAACATATCACGTTAAAAAGTATATGGTGAGGTCCTGCATCAGTTTTTGAACAATCTAATGTTTTGATTTTGTTTTGTTATAGAGTTTTGTTTAAATATCCGCTCATGGTCGTTGTAAAATTGGGACGAGAAGTTAGATAGAGGAACTTATTTCATCGTAACCCTTTTAACGTGTAGAAAAGGTTAATTTTTCAGCATAGCACAGGGCATATTGATCTCGACTCGATATTTCAGAGGTCCTTTAAGTGGGAATTGGATCGAAACTGTTCAACCAGTGATGTGCGCCTACAAACTTGTTAGCGTTCATTTTAAATGGTTTGGACTGCAGAAAATGGTCGAGAGTTATACACACACGGTATAGTGGCTAGTTGTTCCCCTATGTAACAAATTTTTTTGAAGGGCTAAGAAATCCACTGATCGCCCTGTTTTTTCAGCAATATCCCCGTCTATTCTCAAAGTTCCATCGTGAGGTGTTTTGTTGGATGGACAGTTGGTATGGTTTGACAATGCAGGATATCCGTGCGATTGAGGCTAAAGCTCAGAAGGAACTGGAAGATCAAAGGAAAAGTGGACAGGTAAGAAGTCCCTTCGACTAGTTGAAAGTAGTCGGTTCTGTTAGTTCTGAAAGTAGTCTGTTCTCTGTCTTATCTGTTATTCTTATTGATTACACTTTAACCTTAAATAATAGACCCTTGCGAACATGGTAGGACGGTTGAACGCCTTTTACCTTATGTTTATTTCTTTCTTTCTTATTTTCATTTATTTTTTAACTTTTACTACCATGCGTTTAATGACCTACATTTCAGGTACGGGGAATGACTGCCTCATGACTTACAATCATATTTTAGCTTCTCACACATTGCTATTTTTCTATTTTCATGTCTATCATTACTGTCCTCATTTATTAGTCTTACAATTCCTTTCTTCAGCACGAATGCTTTTTTTTAGTGAAAGATTTCTTAATGTTAAAGGTGTTAGCATCCCAGTGATTCTTTGGCTCTTCACGGTCTCCTGTGTCTCTTCTTATTCATAGATTTCTAACAGCACTGTCCACTTCTATACTTTCGTTATCTATTTCTTCCTCTGTAATTGTGCAATCTAGGCATCGCTGATCAGATTAATTTTTACGCCGAGCAGTTTTATCTCTTTATAATCAAAAACAGAGAATATTTTTAAAGATTTATTACTATCCTCTTAAAGTTGTTACACGAGTATGTTTGTTATTGTCCGTGCTTTTCCCTTAGTCCTATTATAAATCTAGTTCAAATTGACTTTGGATAAAGTTATTATGTGTATGTATAGAAGGAGAGTATTTGCTTGGACAATTTGATAACCCGTCTTCATTGGTTATGTGGCCCCCGCATAATTTCCGTTGTTTTGAAGTTTTGCTGGTCTAGCCATTGTGGTTCCCTGAAGTCCCGAGGTCACCCAGGCCAAAATCTGTCCCAGGTCGTCACCACCACTGACAGTCGCTGCCCTTGTGGATCAGAGGGAGATTTGCCACCATACGACTAGTTTGATACCAGGGCAGTGGTGGATCTTGGTATCAGTTTACGCTTAGCTGAGTTTTCTGATCGAAACGTTGGACTTCTCTGAGCTTGGGAGACTCTCCTGAAAAGATGGACCCCGTTGTAAATCGGAGCCCGGCACCCAGGAACACCTGCCAGTAACGGTGGGGCAGTAAACCGTTGAGAGGATAGGAACACGGTACTGCAGCAAATTCTGGATCGTTGGAGTTCATCATAATTTTATAAAACGGAATGTCAAATGGGTTCTGTTCGTATTCTGTGCGCTTGTTTTTGTTTTTATCGTTGTAAATCGGGAAAGTGTTTATTATTGCACCGATGTTGGATATATCGATCACAGCTATCTCTTCCCCATGATTCTCGTAGAAATACAATTGAGTATCTTTGCAGTGCAGTACTGGGTGCTCGAACTCATTCCTCAGCATAGAGCCAAAGAAGCCAAGATGTAAGGTAAATGAACAAGTCCAATCAGTGTTCGCTGCATTATTGTTAACATATTCTGGACGATATGAATTGATTTCCACTCATTTGAGACCGGAAACAACCTAGTTTGTTGGGTTTAAACCAATGTGTATCAACTTAAAGTGAACTTTATCTGTTAGAATGAAAACGATTCAAGGCTACAAGTTTTATGCAAGGGGATATAAGTGCTTCTGTATGCGACCACAATGAAATTCTGCTTTTTTAGAGTTCAGGAATCATTTTTCTCGCTTGGACTCATATGCCTTTTTGTTTTTAGTTTTAAGAGAACAAAATAACAATGATATTCTAGAAGAGCTATGTTTACTGGAGCAAATTCTCTTCTATAAGTACATGGATGATTCCAATCCTGAAGTAATCCAGTTCTTGAAGAAACATCCACATTTCCCGGAGAACATTTAGCGTCATGAATGGGTTAAATGTTGTGAATGCAAATGTGGTTTCGAGAACATTCTACTGAAGAGAATGCGCTAAAGTATAAGAACTCATCTAGTATTCGTCGGCTAAAAGCAGTGCCTTTTATTGACGATCTAGCTGGCTTGCGTTTTAAGTATTCAGCTATTTATTAGGTTGGTAGGAAATTAATGTCGCATCTCAATTCGTATTCTTTAATGTGACATATCTCAGCTTAGAATAAACATTACCAATTGATCCCAGGATCGACTTTCTCTTAACCTCGGCATTGGAATATGAATGTGTCGTTTTCTTGTTCAGCAATCGCGAGGTTTTTAAACAGCATACATTTACTTCCATAAAACACAATACAATACAACGCTAGCTGACGTTGCCTGACGCTGATGTTGCCTTTTATAAGCGATGAAGTAAGCGCAGCTATAAAACGATGCTTAAGAAGGGCAAGTCTAGAGGAATCGGTAGCGATAGTTGAAATACCACCGACTACTCTACGTCGCCAATTAGTTCGCAACCGCCTGTATGACCGTCTGTGTGAAACAACAAATTGCGTAATTTGCCCTTACGGCAGGGACGGTGATTGCATGAGTTCAGGTACGATATACCTGATCTCGTGTAACAATTGCGGAGATGAATATATTGGCGAAACGGGCAGACCTTTGTGTATCCGTATAAAAGAACACCTAGATGGCAAACGAAAACTAAGACGAAGCACCCCACTAGGCACGCATAGGATACAAAAGCATAGCGGAGACGATTTTGAAGTAAAAGTCAATATCCTTGCACAAGAGTCCAAAACACCAGCGCGAAAACTTTCTGAGGCTTTTTGGATCAATGCCAAAAACCCTACAATTAATAGCAGGGACGAATGCCCAGAGGTCATACGCGACCTGATCCCGTACGTTCGCATTGATTTTTGATGTGGGATGGTGCAGTCGTCAACCACATGCGACTA